ATTATAGATGCTTGGCGGCGCGTATTCGCGCTAGCCCCGGGAAAATTGCGAGGCTGGTTCCGGTCTCTCGAGCTTTTCCGCATCGCGCGAAATTTCTGCCGCGCGACACCGTCAACGTGTGCGCGATTGGCGATTTGTGGCTTTTCAAAATACACCAAAGTCGACGCGCGACAATGCGCGAACGTGGGCGTCGAGCGGTTCCCACCCTCGACTTGATTTTCTATTTCTGAATTCGAACCGGCGGACAAACAATTTTTTGTCTTTTCAACTTCGAAATTTCGCGGCGGGGTTTTTCGTTCGGACGTGCTGCGTTTGATGGAAAATCATTCATCGATAAGTTATCTTGTATTGTTTTTTATTATAAGTTATCTTGTATAGTTTTTTATTATATTCAGTACGTATGTTGATATCTTTTAATTCTTGCAATTTATCTTTATCTTACAATTATATTTATCTTGCACTTTATTTTTTAATTTTTTAAATTTATCTTCATCTAGCAATTTATTCTTACCTGTATTTTTATCTGATGTTATCATTTATCTTTGTTATATCATTTATTTTTATTTTGTCATTCTTCTTTATTTTGTAACTTATATTTACCTAGTAATTAATCTTCATCTCGTACTACATCTTTATCTTCATTCGCGACTCAGATGTTTCAAAACAGTCCGACTGCACCTAGAATAGCAGAAAAAAGAGTCACCAGCCGGTGTTGTCCAATGAAATTTCACGATGACACGAACTGTAATCCAATTCGATGGAAATCGAGAGGCAAACAGTCCGGCCGCGTACACCGGCTCTCGTCTAATTATTAATAATGCGACGAGTCACAGTGCAGATGGATGACTGTTTGCGCCGTTCTCGTGAAACGAGATTGGTTACTCGGATCGTGCATTACGGCCAGGGTGTTCGTCGCTTATCAATGGGGCATCGTTCAAATTGCTCATGTTTGGCGACCCAACTACGTTCGACATGTTAACCTCGTTCCAAAAGAACAGCCAACCGTGAATCGATTGATACGCCTTCCAAAAGTAACGACATCACGTTTCTAAAAGTTCGAATGGTCGTCTTCGATGTAGCTCTCTTGAAACATGATATATGAGTGAAGACACTTTTCTTTTATCAAAGTGTACTTTTATTAAGGTATATACCCTTTTATTGAAACTATATTTCATGATATATTTCGTTTATTTGATCGGTTATGTTTTATGACGCACCAGATGCGCCATCACTACAAATCACTCATGGCATCTTAAATGATATACCAGATGCGTACTTTGTTGTTTTGGGTTCGTTTCGAACGACGCATCTGATGCGTCATTACTTTCATTTCATCTCAAATGACGCACATGGTGCGTCAATACTTTCAATACAATTTGTATGACGCACCTGATGTGTCATTACTTTTAATACCTATGGAACGACGCACCTGATGTGTCATTACTTTTAATACCTATGGAACGACGCACCTGATATGTTGTTACTTTTAATACCTATGTAATGACGCATCTAGTGCGTCATTACTTTTAATACCTCGAGTTTGACGCACTTGATGCGTCATTATTTTTAATACATTTCGAATGACGCACTTACTGCGTCAGAATTTTTAATACATCTGAAATGACGTATCTAATGTGTTATTATTTTTAATACGATTCGAATGACGCACCTCATGCGTCATGACTTTGATACATTTGGAGTGACGCACCTAGTGTATCATTATTTTTAATTTGATTCGAATGACGCACCTAATGCGTCATGACATTGATGCATCTAAAATGACGCATCTAGTGTGTCATTATTTTCATACGTTTCCAATGACGCACCTAGTGTGTCATTATTTTTATACGTTTTGGATGACGCACCTAATGTGTCATTATTTCTAATTCTATTCGAATAACGCACCTCATGCGTCATGACTTTGATGCATCTAAAATGACACACCTAGTGTGTCATTATTTTCATACGTTTACATTGACGCACCTAGTGTGTCATTATTCTTAATTCTATTCGAATAACGCACCTCATGCATCGTGACTTTGATGCATCTAAAATGACACACCTAGTGTGTCATTATTTTCATACGTTTTCAATGACGTACCTAGTGTGTCATTATTTTTAATACATTTCGAATGACGCACCCAATGCGTCATGATCTGGTGCACAAATTGAACAAATGTCTGTTTTATCGGCTTTGTATTGAGTTTGTATCTCCTGACGCATCTGCTGTGTCACAGACATCGTTTACCTCACTAATCGAAAAGCAACACAATATCCGAAAGAAACTTTACGATCGTGTCAACTGCGAAGTAGTAAAAGATCCCTTTCGATCCGTTCCAGTCTTTCCACTTCTGACCAAGATCCAAAGAGCTCCGGAGTCCTTTCAGCAGGATCTCGTGTACGCAATCTAGCAAATCGAGTACGGGAAGGCGAGAGAAAATCACGAAACTCCCGGCGCAACATCCCGTCGATGAATTCTGTTGCCACTTTTACGACAAGATCGGCAAGTTGAATCCGAGTCGAGGATAGCAAAAGGCTCTGAAAAATCGTGGCGACCGGCAGTAAATTCTCCCTCGGGCCGTGATATCTTCGTTTCGGCGTCGAAGATACGGTACCGCGGTCACGTACAGACTGTTTCAAAATCCAATTTGTCGTTGATGTTTGAGCGCCGCTGCTGCAACGGCGAGCCGCGATTACATACCGGAGGAACTCGTTAAAGTTCGAAGGAACACTGGGTCTAGGCTGGTTAGAGACGGAACGATACCCCGATGAAATAGTCTGCAATCCTGGCTAGCCGAAATACTGAAACATGCAGCACGCCACGCCGGCTAAGGGATGCGGGGAGAGTAACAGATATCCTGGGGTGAACGGAGAATCCGGTAGCTAGCCCGTAAAAATCGCTCGTAAAAGCGAGATACCGTTTTCTCCAGAACGTGGCTTAATATCAAACCGATCGACCCGGACCAGCGCCAATGTTCTGTCGGGAAATTTCCATTTCTGGGAAATTACCGATCCAGCTTCAAGGGTTCCACGTATAAATTGCAAATCGGGGCTGGATACGTCTTCTTTATTTCTGAATGTCTAAGTAGTTCGAAAAAGTATGACGGGTTGTTTGGTACGCACCTGGTGCGTCATTCGATGGCCACAGTTAAACCTATACAACTCGGAAACCTGTACGAGCAGTTATCTTTCTCTGTCAGTCCAGAATTTAATTCTAATTATTACGTATGAATTTTAGCTCTGTAAGTTGGATTTATTAGACCTGTGCACACTGCTGGATTAAATCACAGATTAACCATAGAAGCACGGTATGTCGCCGAATCAGTTTAAACTTTCAGGAACGGGTAAAATTGTAATACCGTAAACTTTAAGTGATTGATAATGATATTAAGTATCATTATGGAGCGCGTTTGGATTTGCGTTTGCACTATGGAATATTGCAATTTATCGTGAAACGTGCCTGCGGCTTATTTAATTAAAGCTGAAAGCATCTGTAGAAGTGTTTATAGCCACAGTTTGATTAGCGGGCAACAGCTATTCCATGTTCCACTTCACTTTGGAACTGCCGGGCAAAATATCAAGTGGAGAGCTTAAATCGAAAAATGAAACGGTCGTATTCCGAATAATTGCAATTATGGTGTACACTTCTCTGCTCTGCTATTTTCATCGTGACATTTAACGCGTTAATATTTCAACTGCTCTGTATCAAAGGCACTCTGCTTACGTAGTAATCCACGACGTTGAATATTTATTCGTCTAACGAGTACCGTAAGACGGCGTGACTTTGATCAGGTTAGCGTAACATTGACCCAAAGCTGGATCATTCTTGATCTTACTGTTCTGTTAAATACTTAATCCTCTCATTGTAATTCTTTGTCTGTTGTGGGCTCTTCGTGTTTAATATTTTTAACACGCATGGTGCTTATATACAAATGCATCAAATTTGCACATATACATATCACACAATCACCCAACCATATGACACTTAAATTGTCATATGAATTCATCAGTGTCATTACTAATTTAATACATTTAACGCAACCATGTATACCACTTAAATTGTTATAAATCATCAATATTATTAATTTATTAATTCACTTGACTGGACATACTCGCATTAAAGTATCTAATTAAATTTTCAACCACTTCATTGTGGAAGTCGATTTATCGTATTACTCGTATTAATTGGAACTATGAATAGCAAATATTAGTTGGAACTATGAATAACAAATGTAACAAAATACTGTGCACATATTTGATGAAATCTGTTTAAAGTAACAATAATACTTTTTGTAGCATATGACGCACATGGTGCGTCACTGCTTCTAATACCTATCGAATGATGCATCTGATATATCATCACTTGTAATACCTATCGAATGATGCATTTGATATATCATTACTTTTAATACCTATTCAATGACGCACTTGGTGCGTCATTACTTCTGATACCTATCTAATGACGCACCTATGTGTCATTTCCTCTTATACCTATCTAATGACGCACCTAGTGCGTCATTACTTTTAATATATCTCGCATGTATCTGATGTGTTACTATTTTTAATACGATTCAAATGACGCACCTAATGCGTCATGACTTTTAATTAATAGCTATGGAATGACGCACCTGGTGTGTCATTATTTTTAATACGATTCAAATGACGCACCTAATGCATCATGACTTTGATACATCTAAAATGATGCACCTGGTGCGTTATTACTTTTAATACATCTGGTATGATGCACCTGATGCGTCATTATTTCAAACATATTTGTATTGTCAGTATTTGCCTTTCACATATATTAATGGTTCTCTGAGCATACGTCTTAAATAAAAAATTAAGAGCTAGAATGTATAATAATCCATTAAGCAATTTGCAAATGAACAAAACTAAAAATGATCATTTTCTTTCGAACAAAGTTAACCTGAATGAAAATAGCCATAAGGTTAATGCAGTAAATTATTCGAAGAGCGCAGTAAAAGGAACGTCGAATGAAAATGTCAATTCCAAGGTAATGACCCGCTCGACCCGTTTTTTCTGTTGCAGTGAAATATCTGAGAGAGGTTACACCTTACTTCAGGAAAGCCTCGATCATCCAGGAAGTCGGTTGGGAGCTTCAGCGCGGTTTCCTCAGCGCGACGCCTCCGCCGCCGAAGTCACCACCGCGAGCGGATACTCGTTATCTCCCGTTGCAACTCTGCAGACTCACCAGGGCTCATCCTTCCTCGGATCCCGGTAAGTTTTCCTTCGACTATCTCCTTCGATCGATGCTCGAAAAGTCCTTTCGACGCGTGTAAACTCGCGTGAAAACGCGTTCCATGAGAACGTTAATTAACGATTCGTCAAAAAGACGGCTACGATCTCGCGCTTCTCGCTATTTTTCACCCTCGTGTTTAACGTTAGGTTAAGAATGAACAAAAACAAATACCAGTTTCCTTCTTTTCTGAAGTCAAAGTTTGACGTACATTCTGCACGGAAATTTCGTAAACAGATGGATATAATTTTAACTTTATGCACTGATTACGTCTATAGAATGATACCTATTTAATGGAACGAGAAGCACAATTATTATGTAATTAACGCGAAGCTGACCAAGCTCTCAGGCGAGTCCCTCGCGAAAACCCGTAATTTCACCGTAACTTTGGTTACTTAATTTTCGTCGAGCTTGCATATTTTACGCAATCGCTGCCCGCGAAGCGCGGGTCAAAGCGTTTGATAAAATGTTCCACCTCTAAGCACCAAATATCTACTCGATTGTCAAAGACAGTTCTGGAGAGGGGAATTCAAGTATAGGTCATACGTGTTAATCGGAGATCTAGCTGACTATCATCGAAATCTCTTTACATCAAAGGTTTCATCTTTCGGAATACACTAAGTGCTTGACGGGTAAGATGGAGGGTTTCTATAGTGGTCTAGTAATACTTTAACTCCTTTAGACTTGATATTTTAAAGTTAGAATAAATGATTTAATTTTTTGGTGCAATTCTACTCATTTAAGTCTATAACAAGCATACAAGTCCTGATAGAATTTATAATGGCAAGGTCCACGTATATCATCGATTAACAAGCTAAAGTTCCCATATGTGTAATGTACATACAAGTACAATGGTAATGTTCACATATATGATCTTCAATTAACGAGTTAAAGTTTACATATGTGTAATGTACATACAAGTACAGTGGTAACGTCCGCACATATGATCTTCGATTAACGAGCTAAAGTTAATGACCCGCTCGACCCGTTTTTTCTGTTGCAGTGAAATATCTGAGAGAGGTTACACCTTACTTCAGGAAAGCCTCGATCATCCAGGAAGTCGGTTGGGAGCTTCAGCGCGGTTTCCTCAGCGCGACGCCTCCGCCGCCGAAGTCACCACCGCGAGCGGATACTCGTTATCTCCCGTTGCAACTCTGCAGACTCACCAGGGCTCATCCTTCCTCGGATCCCGGTAAGTTTTCCTTCGACTATCTCCTTCGATCGATGCTCGAAAAGTCCTTTCGACGCGTGTAAACTCGCGTGAAAACGCGTTCCATGAGAACGTTAATTAACGATTCGTCAAAAAGACGGCTACGATCTCGCGCTTCTCGCTATTTTTCACCCTCGTGTTTAACGTTAGGTTAAGAATGAACAAAAACAAATACCAGTTTCCTTCTTTTCTGAAGTCAAAGTTTGACGTACATTCTGCACGGAAATTTCGTAAACAGATGGATATAATTTTAACTTTATGCACTGATTACGTCTATAGAATGATACCTATTTAATGGAACGAGAAGCACAATTATTATGTAATTAACGCGAAGCTGACCAAGCTCTCAGGCGAGTCCCTCGCGAAAACCCGTAATTTCACCGTAACTTTGGTTACTTAATTTTCGTCGAGCTTGCATATTTTACGCAATCGCTGCCCGCGAAGCGCGGGTCAAAGCGTTTGATAAAATGTTCCACCTCTAAGCACCAAATATCTACTCGATTGTCAAAGACAGTTCTGGAGAGGGGAATTCAAGTATAGGTCATACGTGTTAATCGGAGATCTAGCTGACTATCATCGAAATCTCTTTACATCAAAGGTTTCATCTTTCGGAATACACTAAGTGCTTGACGGGTAAGATGGAGGGTTTCTATAGTGGTCTAGTAATACTTTAACTCCTTTAGACTTGATATTTTAAAGTTAGAATAAATGATTTAATTTTTTGGTGCAATTCTACTCATTTAAGTCTATAACAAGCATACAAGTCCTGATAGAATTTATAATGGCAAGGTCCACGTATATCATCGATTAACAAGCTAAAGTTCCCATATGTGTAATGTACATACAAGTACAATGGTAATGTTCACATATATGATCTTCAATTAACGAGTTAAAGTTTACATATGTGTAATGTACATACAAGTACAGTGGTAACGTCCGCACATATGATCGCATACGTAATATTTAATGTCCACATATATGTAATATACATATGTCTCCATATATTCACTACACTTATTCGTACAAGTGCATACGTAATATTTAATGTCCACATATGTGTAATATACATATGTCTACACATATTCACTACACATACTCATGCAGATGCACACATAATATTAAATTAAAAATATTAAAGAGTTAATAAAATAATCTCCAACATCATTTATGAGTATAATTGGACATCTAAAGGATTGTATACCGTTTTCATCGAGAATAAAATTGTGAAAGACAGCTTAACCTTTCATGAAAAAGCGAAGCAAAACCTCTTAAGCATGAAAATACCTGGTCGCGAGTATAGAGATTGACGCGGTTAATGCAATGAGAGTCAACAGAATAATCGGACGGTCAGCAGCCGCGTATGATGATAGCGGCGGAGAAAGCGGTCGAAGCGTACGGTGTTGCAAATGAAATAACCGTCAGTGAATTTCTCTTGCACCGCACGTTTAGAAGTAAACGTTCCAGCGGAACACGTTCACGGATTACGTGCGCAAGCCGCGTCTCGATGGGTGGCGAGCCGACGCTCCTCTCGAGAACTGCATGCTCAGCGACCGAGATAATGACAGCCATAACGCAATTAACCCGTTTCTGGGATTACAGTCGAACGAGCACATGTGTATGTGAACGTGTGCGGCGCCATCGCGTTACGAGTTTGACAGTCAATTATCGTTTAAACGGAACAATCGCGCGAAAACTTTTGTCGATTACGAGACTATCTTAGTGGCGGACCTATCGGCACTGTAATTTAGAGACATACTGGGTTTTTTGATTTGGGTGTTTGAAAGTGATGGGGTTTTGAGGTGTAGGGATTAGGGATGTAGGGATTTGGGGATTTCGGGATTTCATGTGGGGACTTGGGGATGTGGGGACTTGGGGATGTGGGGACTTGGGGATGTGGGGACTTGGGGATGTGGGGACTTGGGGATGTGGGGACTTGGGGATGTGGGGACTTGGGGATGTGGGGACTTGGGGATGTGGGGACTTGGGGATGTGGGGACTTGGGGATGTGGGGACTTGGGGATGTGGGGACTTGGGGATGTGGGGACTTGGGGATGTGGGGACTTGGGGATGTGGGGACTTGGGGATGTGGGGACTTGGGGATGTGGGGACTTGGGGATGTGGGGACTTGGGGATGTGGGGACTTGGGGATGTGGGGACTTGGGGATGTGGGGACTTGGGGATGTGGGGACTTGGGGATGTGGGGACTTGGGGATGTGGGGACTTGGGGATGTGGGGACTTGGGGATGTGGGGACTTGGGGATGTGGGGACTTGGGGATGTGGGGACTTGGGGATGTGGGGACTTGGGGATGTGGGGACTTGGGGATGTGGGGACTTGGGGATGTGGGGACTTGGGGATGTGGGGACTTGGGGATGTGGGGACTTGGGGATGTGGGGACTTGGGGATGTGGGGACTTGGGGATGTGGGGACTTGGGGATGTGGGGACTTGGGGATGTGGGGACTTGGGGATGTGGGGACTTGGGGATGTGGGGACTTGGGGATGTGGGGACTTGGGGATGTGGGGACTTGGGGATGTGGGGACTTGGGGATGTGGGGACTTGGGGATGTGGGGACTTGGGGATGTGGGGACTTGGGGATGTGGGGACTTGGGGATGTGGGGACTTGGGGATGTGGGGACTTGGGGATGTGGGGACTTGGGGATGTGGGGACTTGGGGATGTGGGGACTTGGGGATGTGGGGACTTGGGGATGTGGGGACTTGGGGATGTGGGGACTTGGGGATGTGGGGACTTGGGGATGTGGGGACTTGGGGATGTGGGGACTTGGGGATGTGGGGACTTGGGGATGTGGGGACTTGGGGATGTAAGGATATGAACATGTGGGGATTCAAGGATGTGGAGATTTAAGGATGTAGGGATTTGGGGATTTAGAGATTTGGGGATGTAAGGATTTGGGGGATTTAGGAATTTGGGAATATAGGGATTTGGGGATCTATGAATTTGGAGACGTAGGGATTTGAGGATAAAAGAATTTGGCGATGTAGAAATATGGGAATGTGGAGATGTGGGACAATTGGGATTTGGGACTCTTGGAATTTGGGGATGTACGGATTTGAAGATGTAGGGATTTGGGGATGAAGGGACATGTGGATATAGAAATTTGAAGATGTATAAATTTGGGAATATCAACCTTTGGAGATGTATAAATTTGAAAATACTTAAAACTGCTAGAATTTGACTTGGTTATTTGATGAGAACTTGCAAATGTAATTTGAAAATGTGAGTACATAAAGATTTGATAGTTTGAGAATTTCAACCTAACAAAATAGTACAAATTAAAAGATTAGTGTATTTGAAAATACAATTGCAAATTAGGGAATTTGCAGTAAAAGATCCCGTTTAACCTTGTCAATAAACTTCCCCTAAAGTCCCATTAAAACTGAGTATCCAATGATCTAATTTCGACTGGACAAGTATTTAAAGGAGCGCAAATAGGCGTTAACTAAAGCTGACCATACAATTTCGCTAAATAGCAACATTCCACGGACAATCACCGTACGAACGTTCCATTCGCGACGAAAATTCGAGCAACCCCTAAATACTTGTGCGGAGATAATGGAACGGTGAAGAGGGGTTTTGCAAATTAACGGTAGCACACGAGTCAGTGGCCATTGTGATTCCTCGATATTCGTACAATTAACAGGTTGATTTTGAAATCGAGTGGACCCGGGGCAATTCTTTCAGCCTTTCGGGATTTTGTTCCTTTTAATGGAATCCACCTAATCCGAGGCCGGGTTATAGAGACCCCTATCTATCCGGCCAGCTCTCGGCCGCTCGCTAATTCAATTAGCCAATTTTCATTGTACCATTCATGCGTCCGTTTTAATTCGCAAGATAGACCCCGCGAACGATAGCCAATATCTCTGACCCATCCTCCATAGTCTGAACCTTTTTTTACACCTTCCTCACTAACGTCGACATAGACCGTCGATTCCGTATTTGCTCTTGGTCAACGTTCGAGCCTCTTCATTTTCTCGTTCTACGCGAATTAGCCTCCCTGCTGATAACATTATTCGTTAGATGGAACACGTGTTCTGGCAAAGAAACCGTTTCGAATCCGCCATTATGGTTATGTAAATAGGACAAATGCCTCTGTAGCAGAATATAACGAAGGATTTGGAAACTATCGAATGGAAATTGGAGCAGGAACCTTCCTTATTTTTTTAGGCGTTCAAATTATGTTATGTGAATATTCTGCTGATGAATGTGAAGGATTATAAGACCTAGAAGGTCTAAATCTCAAAGTACCAAATCTCGCATAGTTTTGCGAACCCAAACGTCAGCCGAATCACCTCGAGACACCGTCGATCGAATCGAAGTTTAGCCACGTATTTAGTTTTTCTGGTCGGACACCGTCGCACACAGGAAAGCAGTTAAAGCGAGATAGAAATCGGGTCGATGCTGGAGCCTCCAGGTTCGACTGTACGCTACCGGTTGGCTAGGAGGATGCGAGAGTTAAATTAGTTTCCGGGGCAAAAGCTGGCTGCTGCCTGGTTTTCAGGGCTAACCCCGTGTATAATTCCAGAACAGCTCCATCAGGCTGGAACCCACGAAGAACCTTCCATCCACCATCCACTGCTGACTCCACCACCACCATCACCACCCGTATACCACCCGTTAGCATCGTCCCTATCAACCATCTACCTTGTTCGTCCTTTGCCTTGCCAGTCTTCGCGGACCTCCGCTTTGCCAACTTAATTACCGCCAGATAATTGCTCCCTATGTGCTGACCGCTTGATTAACGAGCCGGGATCTGCTACTTGTCGCCACATTTTTCGACTGTTTCAATTGTCTACGCATCCTCCTTTGAATTTTCGTATTCCTTTTTGGCCTCTGTGCTTGTCAGAAACACGGTGCCTTATTTTGTTATGTTGATGTAGGATTACTTGATTTCGTGGTGGAGGTTTTTAGATGATGGAGGTATGATAATGAACTCGTCTGGGTGGATTTACATGTGAGTGCTA